GAAGGCGAGGCCCTGGGCCAGCCTGACCTGAGCAGTTTTCTTCTTTGAAAACAGTTCTTTGTTGCTCTCAGATCTTCATGATAAAATCTCTGTTACACAATAAATAGGATTGAGGGGTACTCCTATAGCGGGGGGACGGTGAGGGCTGGGATAGCAGGGAGCTGTGGGTTGGGACTGAGGGCACTGGAAGGGCTGGGGTGAAGGAGCTGAGGGCTGGGATAGGTCAGGATTAAGGGGCCCTGACAGAGCTGGGGCCAGGGGGGAAGCCCAGGACTGGGATAGCAGGGGGCTGTGGGTCAGGACTGAGGGCATTGGTCTAGGGTAGTAGGGCCTGTGGATTGGAATTATGGGGCACCGACAGAGCTGAGGGGGAAGCCCGGGGTTGGGATAGCTGGGGGCTGCAGATTGGGATTGAGGGGCACTGCAGAGCTGCTGTGGGGGGGAGCCCGAGCTTCACTAGGGAGGGCTGATCAGACCTCCCTTGCACTGGGAAAGGCTGGGGGAGACAACCACCCACAGTGGACGGGGCTGAGAGGCAACAGCTAGGCCCAGAGCCCCCTCCTTTGGCAAGCAGAGGGGGGATGGGGGGCGGTTGCCATGGAGATGCTGGCTCTGGCTCAGCCCTGGCCCAGCCCGGTGTAGATGCAGGTGTCTATGCAGGTCGCTGCGGCGCCGGAACCGCCTGGTGCAATGGGTGCAGCCGAAGTTAGCCCGGTGGGAGTCGGGACTGATGCCCGGCTCCGGGCTCTCGTTCTCCTTGGCTGCCCCCTGTCCGCAGGGTTTGTGCCAGCGCCGGTGGGAGGCCAGGTTGGCCAGGCAGCCGAAGGCCTTGGGGCACTGAGGGCAGCGGTACTCCAAGCGGGCCAGGCCTGAGCAGCCGTGCCGGGCCAGCGAGGGTGGGTCGCTGTAGGCCTGGTGGCACAGCTGGCACACAATGGCTCCCTGCCCCGAGGAGGAGGGGGAGGCTGCCGGCAGCAGGGGATTCTGGGGCAGAGGGCAGGCTGCTGGAGTCCCACTTGCACCAGGGGGGCTCCCCTGGGTGGGGGGCAGTGGTGTGGGGCAGCCTGGAGGCCAGGGGTTGTCACCAAGGGGCTCAGCTGAGGGGGCTCGGATCCGATAGGAGGCCGGGCCTGCCTTGTGGGTTCTCTTCACCAGGAAACCGCGGGGCATTGTGGGCGCTAGGGGCTCTCTAGACCTGTCTGGATCTTGATGCCAGGTCTGGGGGCTCCCTCAGCCTGTAAGAACTTCACTGTTGTCAGCCCTGGGGGCTCTCACAGCCAGCCTAGCCCTTGGTTCTGGTGGCTCCCTCGGCCCGTCCGCACCTCGCTGCCCGCTCTGGTGGCTCCCTCGGCCCGTCCGCACCTCGCTGCCCGTTCTGGTGGCTCCCTCGGCCCGTCCGCACCTCGCTGCCCGTTCTGGTGGCTCCCTCGGCCCGTCCGCACCTCGCTGCCCGTTCTGGTGGCTCCCTCGGCCCGTCCGCACCTCGCTGCCCGTTCTGGTGGCTCCCTCGGCCCGTCCGCACCTCGCTGCCCGTTCTGGTGGCTCCCTCGGCCCGTCCGCACCTTGCTGCCCGTTCTGGTGGCTCCCTCGGTCTGTCCAGCCCTCAGTGCTGGTTCTGGGGCTCCTTTTGCCTGTCCAGCCTTTGTGCCAGTTCTGTGGTCTCCCTCAGCCTGACTGGACTTCAGCATTGTCCACACTCTCTTCAGTCTGTGTGTCCTCTGTGCCCCTATATGCCCTAGCCCTATATATAAAGCCCCCGCCCTATTGTGCAGCCCCACAGCTCCAGATGGTCGGGCTGGGGAAGCCAATGGCTGTGGGGCTGGCAGCAGGGTTAGGGGGTCCCCAGGGAGTGGGGGGGCAGTGGCAGATGGCAGGTGCCCCCACACGTGATCCCTGCCTGCACCAGACACAAAAGGACCCCCTATTATAGGCACAGCACGTGCTGGGGGGGTTCCAATGAGTCATCCCCCCAGACAGAGAGTTCACACTGGAGGTGGGCTGTGGGCTAGGAGCGGGGGGTGGATGGGGGAGGAATTAACGCTTCACTGCACCCCTGAGATGCACATGGGGAAGGAGGGAATTCTGGTTCAGTTTCTAAAGGGGATCAGGCAGGCAGGCAGGCGTGTGGGGGGGTATATATATCAGAGTTGTATCAAACCCAGATTCCACCCAGCCCCCACAGCCTGTAGGACAGGATCGCCCCTTAAGGTTTATTTCCCCTGCACACTCTGTGAGTGGAGAACCATCCCCCTACAGTCTCCATGCCCCACAACCCCAAACCGGGGTGTAGGCTTGTCCCCTGCAGTCTAGTATCTATGTGGTGTCATTTATTCATCCACACAGGCAGTCATGTTTGTACTGTTTGTCATCATGTTTTATATTAATCATTTATTTTTAAATATACACTGTATGAGCTCTTTGTTATACTTATAAATTGTTTATGGTTTCTTAACATTAAATTTGTCCTTAGTGACTTTTAAAAAATGTATTATCTCTCCACTTTATTATGTCTGCCTTCCTGTATTTTGTTTCTTCTTCTTATGCATTTCCTTTTTATTGGGTTAATTTCATTTTTATTTGTTCACATATTTTCTATTGCTTTCCCTGTTGTAGTTAATGTTTCTTATTTATTTCATTAACTGATTTTAAAATATATCTTATTGATTTTATTATTGTATATATTACATTTTATTAATTATCTCGATCATTCCATTTATTATTTTTGTTTTTATTAATTATATTGTGTATTATATTTTATTAAATTGTATCATTTAATTTTATCTGATTTATTATTATAGTGATTTTATAATTAATTATATTTTATTAGTGTTTTCTTTAATTGATTATAGTTATTGATAGATTTAATTGGTATAATTTTATTATATTAATTTATAGCAATAATTATCCTTTATGTTATACATTTTATAATTATTAATTATTATAATTATTTTATTGTTGGCTTATCATTTAATGTTATTGTATTTTATTATGTTTTAAATGTTCTATTTTATATTTATGTTTATTTTCATATAATTTTGTTAATATAATGTAATTATAATAAAATAGCTTTATTTCATGCTCAACTTTATCACAAAATGTCAATTTATTTCATTAATTTTATAACTAGTAATTGAGACTATAATTGTTTGTTTTGTTGGTAATGTTTTTATGTATTATTTTACTGTTATATTTATTCTTTAATTATATTTATTTGTAAATTTTATTATGTATGATTTGTCATGGGTTAATAATGTAATCATTATTTTATTAACATCTTGATTAATTACTCTATTCATTAGCGATATTGTGTGGTTGTTCTTTTATTTATTTCATTACAATAATCTTTCAGTTCCTTGTTACTTCATCTCTGGATTCTCCAGCACAACATCCCAGTGAGGTATCATTTCCTCATTCTCAGTTCATTATTGGTTCCCGATGATCCTATTAATCCTTACCTCTTGTTTCTGCACTGCCCTGTGAGAAATCCTCCCCCGCCTCAAAACACACACCTTTTGCCTGTGGGACTCATTGCCACTAGATTTCCATTCAGCCTTTTTACAAAAAAAAAAAAAAAAAAAAAGAGGGGGGTGGATATAGCCACCATATCCAGAGTTAGACGAGATAAAAAACAATCAGTGGTTCCATCTAGCCTGGTCCTGGGGCTGGCTTAAAACCCACTCAGGTCTGGGATAATTTGTTCCTGGGAAAAGGTTCCTCCAGTCCTGGAGTTTGGCTGAGATATTAGCTACAGCACTACTGAACTATACCTCAGTTTCCCACAGTTTTGGTTGGGGTCCAAGCTGCAGCAACACTGAGCCTTGCCTCAGTTTCTCCAATTTTTGGTGGAGTCTAAGCTTCAGCAACACTGAGCTGTGTCTCAGTTTACCCAGTTTGGGTTGGGGGTGTGGGTCTAAGCTTCAGTGGCACTGAGCCATGCCTCAGTTTTCTGGAGTCTGGCGGAACCTTTACCTGGGGCTAAATTATCCCAGAGCTGCCAGGTTTCTGAATCCAGCAGCCACGATACTGGGCTAGATGGGCCCAGTGGTCTGATCCACCCCAGGCCTGGTGCGAAGCACGTGTGAAATGCTACGAGCTCGGCCACACTCTTTCCATCTGCACAAGTGGCCTCTGCGTGTGGCCAGTGGTCCCCAGTGTGGGACAAAGGCCCTGGGGGCAAGGGAGGAGCATGGCTGTTCTAGGAGACAGGATGGGATCACTGCACCCATTCATTTTGCCCCTGGAGCGCAGGTCTTCCCTGTTGAACGGCTGCTTCCCCTGGTGCCAAGTGGGCATGCAGCATGCCAGGGCCTGGGATTGGGCCCAGGGTGGGAGGTGATTGGGGCTCGGGGGGGCCAGACAACATTGCCCAAAGAGACCAGCTGCTTTGCCAACGATTATTGCAAAAGATCCCAGCTGTCTCCCCGGTGTGTGTAGGGGGTCACTGTTGGTTTCAATTCTATACACACACCCTTCCAGTCCCTGGAGGTGGAGGGCGGCTTCATACCCCACTGACCCCCTTCCCCAACGCCGGCCACTTTCAATAGCCTAGCCAGACACATGCCTGCTCTGACCTCCTGTAACCCCCATGCAGCTGCTGGGAGCAGACTCTCCCTCCCCCCAGTCAGTCCTCCCCACCCCGTTTGGGGCACTCAAGGGTTAACCGTTTGTATGCTGGGGTCTCTGAAATTTGCTGGATATTTTGTGCAGAAGAACCTTGCCCGTAATCGGGGAGCAGAGAAGGGGTTTGTGGTTGGGGGGCTGCAGCAGCACACCTAAGTTCACATCCCATCTCTGCTGCCGATGTTATGCAGGATCATGGGTGGGTCCCTGCATCTCCCCTGCGCTGCAGTTTCCCTCATCTGCAGGGTTGCGAACTCTGACTGAAGCTAGTCCAGGAGATTCCCCCCCCCACACACACACGGTGTAATGTCATGAATTGTACCCTACCTATTACAATCTGCTCCACTGCTTCCAATAGTTACCAGGAGATCAATGCCAATGCCGGTAGGGCTGGCAACCCTACCCATCTGTAAAATAGGGAATGATCCTGGTTTTGTCTAATCTGACTGGGGCTGGAGCTGTTCAGGTCAGGGGCTGCTCTCCCTGGGGGGTCTGTGCAGCACCTGGCAGAGATTGGGGTCCCCACTGCTGCAAAGACCCACAGGGAGAAACAGCCTCTGCTCTCAACAGCTCCCAGTCTGACGAGACACCGGCTGGGAGGAGAAACTGAGGCACTGAATGAGCCAGATGTCCTGGCTCGCAAGGTCCTGCTCTAACCGCTAGACCCCACTCCCCTCCCCTCGCTGGGGTAGAGCCCAGGTGTCCTGGCTCGCAGCCTCCCCAGGGGGCTGTTTCTCTGGGTTCAGGGCACTGAGGGAGTCGATCCGACTGCAGGGTCCCTTCCGGGGGTTTCCGCAGAGGCCGGATCCGGGCAGCGGGCAGGCCGGTCGGCGCCGGAAGGGTTAACACCCCCAGCTCAGCAGCTGCGGCAGGAACCGGCTGCACCTGCGGCAGGTGGGGCCCGGCCAGGAAGCAGCAGCCCGGCCGCTGCCCCAGTCCCCTGCGCCCGGCCCGGCTGGCCCTATGGAGCTGCCGGCGGTGCCCCAGCCCTGGCGCTACTGGCTGCTGCTGGGCTCCTACGGGCTCTTCCTGCTGCTGGGCGCCGCCGTCTTCGCGGGCGTCGAGGCGCCGCAGGAGGCCGGGCTCCGGGAGGCGCTGCGGGGCGCCAGGGCCGGCTTCCTGCGCCAGCACGAGGGCTGCGTGTCGGAGCCCGGCCTGGAGCGGCTGCTGGAGCGGGTGCTGGGCGCCGACAGCTCCGGGGTCTCCGCGCTGGGCAACGTCTCCGACGACGAGAACTGGGACTTCAGCTCGGCGCTTTTCTTCGCCGCCAGTGTCCTCAGCACCACGGGTAGGGCCGGCCCGAGGCGGGGTGAGGGGCGCCGGCGGAGCTGGCAGCGGGGAGCCCAGGGTGGGGGAACGGGGGGCTGCGGGCTGGGAGGGAGGGAGGGGCACTGGGAGGGGGGGCGAAGGGAGCCCAGGGTGGGGGTGCGGGCTGGGAGGGAGGGGCACTGGGGGGGGCGAAGGGAGCCCAGGGTGGGGGAGCGGGGGGGGTGCGGGCTGGGAGGGAGGGGCACCACCCCCTCCCCCTCCCCCTCCCCACTGACTCTCTCTCTCCCCCAGGCTATGGCCATACGGTGCCCCTGTCGGATGGGGGGAAGGTATTCTGCATCTTCTACACCCTCCTGGGACTCCCAGCCACTCTGCTCCTGGCCACCTGTCTTCTGCAGCGACTCATGGGGCTGCTGAGCCACCGGCCTGTTCAGTATCTCCACACCCACTGGGGCATCCCTCCTGGCCACGCAGCACTGGGCCACGCAGCTACCATGGGACTGAGCGTGCTGGGGCTTTTCATCCTGCTGCCAGCCCTCTGCTTCTGGGCCCTGGAGAAGGGCTGGAACTTCCTGGAGTCCGTCTACTTCTGCTTCATCTCACTCAGCACCATCGGACTTGGGGACTACGTGCCAGGTCACAGCAGCCCTGCCTCACTGCGCCATCTCTACAAAATCAGCATCACCTGTGAGCCATTCTCCAGGCAGTCACTAGGGGATGCTGTGCTGCAGAGAGTGGGGGGACTGGCTCAGCAGAGGGCCCTGTGCTGCAGGGAGGGACATGGGGGCCTCAGTAAGGGGCGCTGTGCTGCATGGAGGAACATGGGCGGCCTCAGTAGGGGGCGCTGTGCTGCAAGGAAGGGGTGGGGACTCTGTAGGGGGCACTGTGCTGCAGGGAGCAGGGTGGGGGCTCTGTAGGGGGCGCTGTGCTGCAGGGATGGGGTGGGGGCTCTGTAGGGGGTGTTGTGCTGCAGGGAGGCAGTGGGGTCAGTAGGGGAGCTGTGCTGCAGAGGAAAGGGGAGAAATCCCATCTCAGCACCCTGATAATCATCTCTTCCCCCCCCCCCCCCCAGGTTACCTTCTCCTGGGACTCCTAGCCATGCTGCTGGCCCTGGAGACCATCTATGAGCTGCGTGAGGTCCACAGCCTTGTCCGATTCTTTGCCCCCACACAAGCCCCTGCCTCCCACTCCAATGAGGACGATGACCGGCTGGAGATCCTGAGCCGTGACCAGCTGGGCCTGGCTACTGTCTGTGGGGCCCCCCCCTCTTGGAGTCAAGCGGACAACGAGGCAGATGGGAGATCGGCGTCCCCTGACGGCCCCTCTGGGTAACCTCAATGGACAATGTGTTGTGTCCCCCGCCCCCCCACCTCCCTTCATGCATCAATAAATGAAACTGTACAGAATAGACACTGACCATGGGCATGTGGAGTGCGGGTGCCAGGCTGGTACCGGTACCATTGTTTTGTCCCAGGAAGGGGGTGGAGAATATGGGCTGGATGAGCCCATTGATCTCATTGGGGGAGGGGGAGATACAGGGGTGGCTGATCCCATGGGTTGGATCTGGGCAACAGAGAGGGGAGACACTGCCATGGAATGGCCCACAAGTGTGACCCAGAGTGGGCAGTGGAGGGGGAGATACTGGGCTGGATGGGGATGGGTAGACACCTAGTACCCTCAGAGTAAACAAGCTGCCCTCCTGTGTCCTATCCCCCCACCCCCAGGAATTACCCAGAAGCTGCTAAGAGCTGTTACCCAGGAGGGGGTAAGTCCTGGACCCTGCGCCTGTCCCGGAGCCAGGCCAATGCCAGCCTCACAGACCAGGGGAGCAGCAAAGGCCACCAGGCATCTGGGCCCTATGGTCACTCCTACCTCCTGGCCCAAGGAGTTGAAAATTCCCTTCCCAGAGGGGTACAGCTCTGGAAGGGAGGGGGTCTAATAGGTTAGAACAGGGGGTACTGGAAGCCTGGACTCCTGGGTTCTAATCCAGGATCTGCACAGTCCAATATAGGTAAAAAGTTCCTAATGCCAGTGTGACGAAGTGGGGGAGTTTCTTGTTTTCCTTGTTTTCTATGGGGGATTTGCTTGGCTTTCCTAGGGTTGGCAAGCAGAGGGGGTGGGACTCAGTTTCCCTAGGTGCTACGGGTTCAACAAGGTGATGGGAGAGGGAGTTTGTAACAGAGGACCAGCGAGGGAACTTGGGACCTCAACCACTGGCGTGGAGAATGGAGACCCCAGCGACTGGTAATCTGTGACCCGGAGGCCCAGCTCAGGAGTCACAGCCGGGTCTGGCCAGTGGGAGGACAATGGGCTGCGAAGAGAGAGGAGGCCCAGGCGACCCTGTGTACCTGGAGAGAAGACAATGGACAGAGGCAGGGCTTGGGGCTGGTGATATCAGATGCCCAGCTGGGAAGCAGGGGAGCTCTGGGCTGGAGAGAAGGAGCAGGCAGAGCCCACCTGGATGCAAGAGAGACTTGGATATGCTGTGCTGAAGGAGGCCATGCCTGAGGCCCTGAGAGTTTCCTGTGCTGTGTTCAACGCTCAATAAACCCTCCTGTTTTACGCTGGCTGAGAGTCACTCCGGTCTAGAGAATAGGGTGGCATCATCCCCTTTGGGAGTGGAGGCCCTTGGGGTCCAGAGCGAGTGGAGCCCATGGCAAGAAACAGGTGTGCTAAGGCTCAGAGAGGTGCGGCTCCAGGAGGTGGAGGGGCTTAACCCCAAGAGAGAGTGGACCCCTGGGAAAAGGGCTGTCTCACTGAAAGGGGCACACACACACACACACACACAGACCGCACGGGGCCAAGAGTGGGCACGATCTGTGAGTCCGTGACAGCCAGTTACAATGTGGTGGTGGTTTATTTATTTTTATTTTTTTAATAACTCTTGCAAGGAAATTCCTGGGTGGGGCACTGCTGTGGAGGAAGCTTGCAGTGCTGCACTCATCCTTTCCTTTCTCAGGTGAGCACCCCCATGTGCGGATCCCCTCGCCGGACAGCATTGCTGGGCCTGGGCCACAGGGAGGGTGCGGGGTGGGGCCCTGATGGTGGCTGGCATCCCCTTGTCCTGGGTATGGGAAAACCACTGTGCCCGGCTTGCTCTGTCTGCCTTGGATGTACACCCCTCTTCATCACATGGCTCAATACCATCTGGAACTGCTTCTTCCTTCTCCTCTATCCTGCTGGGCACAGCCCGCTCCCCCTCCCCCCCAGCCAAGACCAGAGAGTCTGGGGAGGGAGGGCTGGAAGCCAGGACTCCTAGGTTCTTCCTAGCTCTGGAAGGGGAGTGGAGTCTACTGGGTTAGAGCAGGGGTGGCTGGGAACCAGGATGCCTGGGTTCTGTCTCCAGCTCTGGGAGGGGTGTGTATGGGGGGAGAATTAAACTGAGCTAAATGTTCACTGTAATTTCCCTAACACACTAATCCTGGAGCGGGGGAGTTAAACTAACCAAATCCCCCACAATCCCTTGGAAGGGACATGGGGGGAATGAGAGAGGGGGAGAAGCTGAGGGTCCAGGGGGAGGGACAGTCAGTGCAGTGGATGAGAAAACCCCACCACTGCCCATCCCCAGTGGGAGAGAACACAGGAGTCGGGTTCTCTGTAGGCACCATCCTGTTGGTCGGTGGCACTGGGTTACACCTGGGGCTCTGGCTGTAGGGTGGCGCTGAACAGCCTTGAAAACTGGAATCATAGAAATGGGATGAAATGTGATAATGCAAAGTGCAAGGCCGTGCACAGGGACTAGCGACAAGAGCTTTTCCTATAAGCTGGGGACGTCTCCCGAGGAGAAAGATCTGGGTGTATTGGTCGATCACAGGATGACTATGAGCTGCCAGCATAATGGGGCCGTGGAAAAGGCTAGTGCAGTCCAAGGATGAATGAGGCGAGGTATTTCCAGTAGAGACAGGGAAGTGTTAGGACCCTTGTACAAGGCACTGGTGAGACCTCATCTGGAATACTGTGTGCAGCTCTGGTCTCCTGTGTGTAAGAAAGGTGAATTCAAACGGGAAGAGGTGCAGAGAAGGGCTACTAGGACAGTCCAAGGAATGGAAAAGAGACTCAAGGAGCTTGGCTTGTTTAGTCTAGCCAGATGAAGGCTGAGGGAAGATCTGATTGCTCACTATAAACACATCAGAGGAGGGAAAGGAGTTATTTAAGCTAAGTGCCAATGTGGACCCAAGAACAAATGGCTATAAACTGGCCATCAACAAGTTTGGCTCCTAATTAGTCAAAAGGTTTCTAACCATCCAAGGAGTGAAGTTCTGGAACAACCTTCCAAGAGGAGCAATGGGGGCAAAAAACCTAACTGGCCTCCAAACTGAGCTTGCTAAGTTTATGGAGGGGATGGTATGATGGGACTGTCTACAATAGCGTGTGGCCCTCCATGACTGATACTAGCAAATCTCTCCAAGGGCCAGTGATGGGACATTAGATGGGGAGGGCTCTGAGTTACCACAGAGAATTCTTTCCCAGGTGTCTGGCTCGCGGGTCTCGCCCCACATGCTCAGAGTCTAACTGATTGGGTTGGGAAGGAATTTTTCCCTGGGTCAGATAGTCCCTGGGTTTGTTTTTGTTTGTTTATTGCCTTTCTCTACAGCATGGGGCATGGGTCACTTGCTGGTTTGAGTAAATTGTGGATCCTCTGAAACTAGAGTAAATTGTGGATCCTCTGTAACTCAAAGTCAGTAACTTAGCCAGAGGTTAGGGGCAAATGATGGGGAGGGGGCGGGGGGCGAGATTCTGTACCCTGCAATGTGCAGATCACACTAGGTAATCATGCTGGTTCCTTCTGGCCTTAACGTTTGAGCCATAGCCTGTGCTCTGCCTCAGGTGAGCATCAGTCCTCCATCCATCCCCACACGCGCCTCTATCCAGCTCCACGGTATCTGGGCCTGTTCATTGCCCTCAGGAGGGTGGGGGGGGGATTTCATGTCAACTCATCGGCTCTGGAGAGGGCCATTCATCAGAGGCCTGACTCCCTTCTCCCCCCCGCCCCCACAACCCCCATTCCCTCCCAGAGCTGGGATAGAGCCCAGGAGTCCTGGCTCCCAACCCTCTCCCCTTGCTATATTAGACGCCACTGGGTTTTTCTTCTTTTTTTGTTTTTAATGGTGAAGCAGACTTGACTGAATAGTCCATCGCCACCAGCAATTATGATTCCTCAATACTCAGCGGTTTATACGGTCTTGCTTTGCCCTGTGCCCTTCGGGTAATGTAACGACGCCCTGCTGCCACTGCCCCATTTCCCTGCTATTTTTACTAAATAATAATGTAACTTTTGTTGCCTTAAGACATTAGAATGCCTTTATCAAAGCCCTTATGTACCCATCTGTTAGCCGACGGCCAAGGATGTTTGGTGAGGTGCCAGCTATGCCCGTTTATACCATCCGTGACTTTAACCGCTAGGATGCACTGTCCCTTCGCGGCGGGCAGCCCGGGCTAGGCTGATGGATGCCCCAAGGTCCTAACCACCCGTGACTTTAACTGCTAGAGCTCAGAGCTCCTTCGCAGCGGGCAGTCAATACTGACTGACAGGTGCCCCAATGGCAGCACTAAGAGCCTCTCCACACCCGTGACTTTAACTGCTAGAGCTCAGAGCTCCTTCGCAGCGGGCAGCCAGGATTGACTGACAGGTGCCCCAAGAGTTTGTCCCGTGGAGGCGGCACAACTCAACGCTAGGCTCTTAGTACTCTCACCTAATGGCCAGGCTTTAGAGCCAAAACGGCTGAGGTTCTTTAATTGTGTTGGCTGCTTTACAGTAAACCAGAGAAAACAAGTCAGGCTTATGCATAAATGGTTACCAAAATTTATTAAGCTAGATTCTAATCATGTGGTTACAAAATTGCTAGTGCCTACTTATTTAAATGTAGAGATGTTACACACACAAACAAGTTACAAAGCTGAAGCCACAATCCCAAAGAAAGAAAACAAAGTATAGAGCTCTATTTCAAAATATGTGTACACTAAAGATAGGAGATCAGGTGTGGGTGCTTCTTACCCTCCTTGCATCTCTCGATTCCAGCGGTGCCAAGCCAGGATCGGTCACTCAATTCCACGGAAAGACGAATAAGGGACAAGGCGTAGGGACCCTCTTAGCTGCAGAAGCCTTGGGAGGCTGTCACTTATCTGACCAGCAGATAGATAGTGAAAAGCACTCAAAAATCATGGTGCTGTAGGTCCCCTACTTATACCTCTGTACTCCTTTATTCTCTTTCTCCTTTCTTATGCCAAATTGAGGCTGGTCTGTCTGGGTGACGCCAGCTTTTGCAAGAGTAGTTTACACTTGCAAGGGAGAGAAACAATAAGTTTTGACTACTGGACGTTTCTTTTATCAGGGTAAATATTTTCCCACCTAGGATGTTGGTGTGTGTGCATCACGCTATTTAGTAGGGGCTAAGAGCCATGTCTGTCACAGGGCCTCTGCCTGCTGTGAGCTTAATCGTCTCAACGGCTGTGCTGGAATATATGTTAAGTGCCCTGTTCCGGCTTCCTCCTGTGTTTCCAGCAATGCTGGTCTGAGGGGGGGGGGGGCTGGCTGTCTGGCTACACCATCACAGGTGATTCGTTTCTTCCGCCCATCTAGTGCGTGTCTATTTATTCAAAAAAGATTTTTGTTTAAGCCCCAGTGGTCAGTTATCAGGCTAAACAAAGCCACTTCATTGTCCTAGGTCAGGCCCTTAAGAACGGCCTTATCCACAACTGTAGGGCACAAATCAAAAAATCTCCTTTCTCTTCTTTCATTAGCCCCAATTTTTTTGCCATTCCTCTTTTACATTCTTCTGTACGAGACTTTTGAATTCCTGTTCACTCAAGGGCATTTCTACGGCAACCCTTCCATTTCATTCCATGTTTTTAGCTGCTTTCTCATGATCAGAACTTCTATTTTGTCAGTCCCAATGAGACGTGGGACGTGGCTATGTTAATGTCAATGAAACGCCCATGGTGATCCACAAGCGCCTGGAGAACCATTGAGAAATACCCCTTTTGATTAACGTAGTTGGAGGCTAGGTGGGCTGGTGCCAGCAGTGGAATATGCGTCCCATCTATCGCCCCTCTGCAGTTAGGGAAACCCATTTGTGCAAAGCCAGCCACAATATCATGCACGTTACCCAGAATCACAATTCTTCTGAGCAGGATGCGATTAATGGCCCTGCAAACTTGCATCAACACGATTCCAACGGTCAACTTTCCCACTCCAAACTGTGTAGCGACTGACCGGTAGCTGTCTGGAGTTGCCAGCTTCCAGATTGCAATAGCCACCCACTTCTCCACCGGCAGGGCAACTCTCAGTCTCGTGTCCTTGCGCCGCAGGGTGGGGACAAGCTCCTCACACAGTCCCGTGAAAGTGGCTTTTCTCATCCGAAAGTTCTGCAGCCACTGCTCGTCATTCCAGACTTGCGGGATGATGTGATCCCACCACTCAGTGCTTGTTTCCTGAGCCCAAAGCCGGCGTTCCACAGTGGTGAGCATGTCCGTGACTGCCACAAGAAGTCTCGTGTTGTATGTGTTACTCGCATCAATATCGCCGGAGTCCTCGCTGTTAGTTTGGATCTTAAGGAGTAACTCGACT